TATCCCCTGTGGTTCCTCTAAACCAGTAGTTCTCAAGTGGGGCGGGGGGTGATTTTGCCACCCCAGGGGACATTTGGCGATGTCTAGACAGATTTTTTATTGTCATGACTGGGTTGTTGGGAGGGGATGTGCTCTGTCATCTAGTGGGAGTGGGCAGCGATGCTGCTGAAAGCTCTCCAATGCATAGGGCGGCCCCCGCAGCAAAGAATGCTCTGGTCCAGATTGTCAACAGTATCAAGGTTGAGTAACCCAATTCTTAACCCAGGGCAGCTTCTTTTCTGCTACCCGTTTTTCTCTCTGATGTTGTCTGGCTGATGGGGAAAGGACAAATATGGTTTTCGTATTTTAATCCTCTGTGCCAAGCCTTGGGCTCTGGGCACTGAGGATAAATAATGGTTAGCAGAACGCCCAGCTCCTTGCAAGATTCAGTGCCTTTCAGAGGTTTTGGTGAAAGTGGAAGAAAGACCTGATGAAGCAGGGAAAATCTAGCATGGTGGGATTCCAGAAAGATCTGAAGGGCAGGGAAAGAGTTCATAGTTAAAGCTCGATTGTTAAAAGGAAGGCAAAACTAGATAGGTTATGGGTCTTTTCTAAATATTTTTGGGTATTGGTTTTAAATACATCTCTGGATAGTAGGTCAGTCTTTTTCTTTGCTCTTCCTATGAGCTGTCTCTTTCTACTGTATCCCCTTCCTAGCTCTCCCTTTGAATGTACTAAAGCCGACCAATCCTCCACTCTCTCCAGGAATCGATAAACATATTAAGAATTTCCTTCTCTTTCCTCCCTTTCACCCCGCACAGAATTTGCATCCTCTCCTAGAAGGTGACATTTAAAACAACTTGACTTCTTTAAAGAGTTCAGAAGTTTTCAGTGTGGTGGCACCTGCAGTTTCTAGTTTGCAACTGACACCCCTTTTTCCTCACCAGATCGCCTCTCGGTGTCGATTCCACGTCTGAAATCCTATCCATTTCCTCTATAGTCCTGAGTTCCTGGCATCCACATTCTGCCTTAAATGTGAGTTCTTACAGAGGCACAGCCTCCGTTCTTTCAGGAGAAGGGTGAGCCAGGAGGCGTTCCAAGGTGACCTTGCGTCTCCTGCAACCCCACTCAGTGCTCTGCCCTGTCCTTCATCCCATGCCTCACTTCTGTCTGCAGGCCTGCGGCTTCTGCCGGCCTCTGGGTGTCCTAACCTTCAGCTGCTTACGCCCACACATTTACCCCAGTAGGGAAGTCACTCCAAGGATTTCTGAACCAATCCCTTGCCCTGAGTGATTTTAAGCCAACGGGTCTCTTGTCCTGTGTTTTCCCTTGGAAACTTCCCTTCTTCAGCTTTTTTCTTTCTGACTTTTCGGTGCCTTTCTGATGGTGGCACACACGTCCCTTTCTGTCACTTCCATTTTGAACTCTGCTGTGTTCCGTGGCCCACTTTAAGCTGGTTCAGTCAAGTTTGAAACCTTTAACTTGCCTCTGAAGTTGGTCCCGTTCCTTCTCTGTTCTTGTCAGGGTGCATTTTCACAGAACCTAGGTGTCTTTGATCCTTTTTCTTTCTTTCTCATAGTATCAGCCTTGATAACTAAATCAAAAATTGTTTTATGCTTATCTCATTTTTCCCTAAGTGATAATCTAGCAAAACCTGAGCAATGGATTTCTTAACTGAAGCCTCCTACCTACTGATGGCTGTCTAGCTTTACTACAGCTTAAGAATAAACCTGATAAATCATAAAATCATAAAAGATAGATTTGCAGTATTTTCACTGAGCTTTCTTCTACCTCAGGCTGAGAAGGTGCATCTCGCTCTTTAGTGGTTCTCACCTGGGCTGTATGTTAGTATCGCTAAGGGGCCCTTTAAAAATACTGTTGCTTAGGTCTCATCTCAGGATTCTGATTGAACTGGTCTTGAGTGAGGTTCAGGTATTAGTATTAGAAAACGAAAATCCCTCTGGGTTATTAAAACATGCCACCAGAGTTGAGAGCTTCTGCATCTTTGAAATCCTCAAGCCTTGAAGCTTATTAGTATGTTTATCTCACAGCCCTGGCTGAGGAACAGGACAAAGAGAACCTTGGAGAATCTAACATGATATGCTCCTGGCAAAGGCCTGTCCATTGAAACTCTGTGCATTCTGAGATTTGCTTTTTATTCAACAGACAGTAGCTGCTTGTCTATTAATGTGGCAGGTAGTGTACTAGGTGCTGGGAGAACAATTTGACAGGGGCCTCATCCTTGCAGAGCTGATAGTTGATGATTCAGTTCTGACCTAGAAATGAATTCCTGTCCTGTGAGATGTCATTCATGGCTCAGAGAAAGAAAGGACCAGGACCTACCAACCAAACTAGGTGATGAAGAAATGCTAACAGCACTGGTAGCCCCAAACCCCCGTGCCTTTTCTCTTAGTGAGCTTAGCTGGGCCATGAACCTAGAACCTAGAACTCTGGCTCTCTTTGAAGGGGGAAATAAAGTCCAAGACTAAAGGTGACCCTGGGTGACCTGCTCTTGACCACTTTCTTCTGGGCCCACATCTTGATCTTAACCTTATCACTAACTGAAGGAAGAAGTAAGAAGTTTGTTGAAGACATTCAGTTAAGGAAGATGAGAGCCTGCCACCTTCCCTGAAGCCTGGAGCAGTGGGGCTGCAGAGCCTGCTCCTTGTGGTCCTTTCCCTGGGTCCCTTGGTCTGCTAAGTCATGGGAGCACATCCCCAGCAGGAGGTAAACTCTAACCCCAGCAGCTGCAGGAAGCAGGGATAGATTAGACATCACGGAGAACAGTTGAAAAAGAACACCAAAGTAGGTGAGCAATCAGAAGCCTAGATCTGAGTGAGTTCTTTTTATAATTCCCCCGCCACGCCTTTCTCTGGAGGCTGGGGCCTCACTGAATGTCCTTGAACTACAGCAGTATCTGCACCCCTCATCCCTGCGGTCGCCTGAGAGCTCCCTCTAGAGGTCAGGATGTGTGTGATCAGCAGCTTATTTACCATACTTCATGTTCACATCTGGTCAAGGGTATCCTCCCTCCCAAGTAGTCAGCCTGGAAGATTCAACACTTAATTCAGTGGTGTTGGACAATTTTCAAGAACATTTTGCACATTTATTCCGAACTGTATGTGACTTATTTTATTGGAACCACTGTAGTGATAGCAAGTATTCATTTTTTCTTCAGAGCAGATTTGTTTTTTTTCTACAAACAGAAATTATTCAGCATGAAATTTGTTGAATAAGCCTCGCGTTGAGGTTGTAAATTTGACCTGAAGACAGTTTCCATGACCAAGTTCAGAAATGCCTTGAGTCAGGGCTTCCCTGGGGGCGCAGTGGGTAAGAATCCACCTGCTGATGCAGGGGACACGGGTTGGATCCCTGGTCCGGGAAGATCCCACATGCTGCGGAGCAACTAAGCCTGTGTGCCACAACTACTGAGCCTGTGCTCTAGAGCCCACAAGCCACAACTACTGAGCCCACGAGCCACAACTGCTGAGCCCGCATGCCACAACTACTGAAGCCTGCATGCCACAACTACTGAAGCCCGCACACCTAGAGCCCATGCTCTGCAACAAGAGATGCCACCACAATAAGAAGCCCGTACCCTGCAAGGAAGAGTAGCTCCTGCTTGCCACAACTAGAGAAAGCCCGTGCACAGCAACGAAGACCCAACGCAGCCAAAAATAAATAAATAAATAAATAAATAAATAATAATAAAAAGAAATGCCCTGAGATAAAGCCTCATTCATTCATTCATTCAACAGTAATATTGAGCACATCCTCTGGCAGGCACTGCCCTAGGCTTTGGGGATACAGCAAGACTGATTCTAGCTCACGATGACGAATTAATAATAAATAATAAAACAAAAAATAATAAACAAGTTGCCAAATAAATATATTTTCTAGAAGGAGAGATACCATGAAAAAGAGTGGAGGATGCAAGAGGGGTGGCAGGGGCCTGATTTAGAGATGGAGATTAAGGAAGGCTTCTCTGAAAAGGGGACATTTGGGTGGAGACCTGAGTGATGCAAAGAACAAAGCCATGTCACAGTGTGTCCCGGGCAGTGGCAGCAATGAATAGAAAGGTTCTGAGGGAGGACAAGCTTGGTGGGTTTCAGGAACATCAAGGGAGCAGTGTGGGGAGAGTGGAGTAGATGAAGGGGCAATGATAGGAAACAAAATTGGAGGCATGGGACCTGATTCTAAGGATATTGGGAAGCAACAGGAGGCCTGGGATTTGCTGGAGTCAGTGCTTGGCTTTCTAGGGTCACTGTTTTGAAAAGTAATATTAATTTATATTTATGACTTGAGGCACAAGTTAGTTAGCTAATGTTATGGTGGGTGGGGTTGGAGGTGGGGAATAAATAAACATCTTTGAATCTGTGTAGACTGTTACTGCAGGAAGGTCCAAGAAAGCCTGGGTGATGGGTTAGGACACTGCAGGCAGGTCCAGGAGAGAAAGGGCACGTATTTTTAAATTTATTCTTTAGTAGTATTTGAATTTTTATCATATGTGTTTTTTGTTTTTTTTTTGTTTTTTTGCGGTATACGGGCCTCTCACTGTTGTGGCCTCTCCCGTTGCGGAGCACAGGCTCCGGATGCGCAGGCTCAGCAGCCATGGCTTATGGGCCTAGCCGCTCCGTGGCATGTGGGATCTTCCCGGACGGGGGCACGAACCCGTGTCCCCTGCATCGGCAGGCAGACCCTCAACCACTGTGCCACCAGGGAAGCCCCCCATATGTGTGTATTTTTAAGAAGCCTGTTTATTAGCATACCATACGTGTATGTAAGATTTGATCTTTACAGAAGTAGTGTAGCTGTTGTGTCCACGAAAACACAAAGGGACTTTAAACCAATTCCTCCTTGGAGATAATTTGATAAACATTGAGAGGCTGCTTGGCATTTGGATTTCTATGAAATCCAAGCATTGATACTTAAGCGCTTTCAACAAGTGAATTGTCCTTCTGTTTTCATAGATAACACCTCATTTTTCTATTTCAAATTACATCTTTTACTCCTTTCCCCAGGCAACAGAAACAGACACCAAAATCAGAGTGTGCACCCGGGCCTACCATCTCCTTTTGAAAAAACTGGCCTTCAATCCAAATGACATCATCTTTGACCCTAATATCCTCACCATTGGTACTGGGATGGAAGAACACAACTTGTATGCTGTTAATTTTATCAATGCAACAAAAGTCATTAAAGTGAGTATGAGTATTTTTCTCCTTTCTACCCAAGACATTGCTTAGATTTATCACATGGCTCCAGTGAATAGTTTGAGCTAACATATATTTATTGGCAAGGAATATTGACATTCTTATTCTTAGGTAGTAAATTGGTTTTCTGAAATTTAGGGACTTTTATTGTTTTTCTTTTATATGTTATTTTATACTGTGAAGTAAAACACACATACCAGGAAATATAGAAAAAAATAATAGAGTATGATAAATAATTAATTATGAAGCATATAATAGCTTTCACTTTCACTTGCGTCCTGAAATGGAGCATGGGTAGTGCCCCCATGGCTCTCCCTTTCTCATTACACCCTCATTCTGAATTTTATGCATGTTTCAACAGGCTGAGTTTTATGATTCTACTTTGTTGCTTTTCTTTAAAATTTTATCACTTCTGTATACACAATCTGAATTATCCATGGATTTTGTATCTGCAAATTCACCTACTCACTAAAATTTATTTGTGACCCCCAAATCAATGCTGATGGTGCTTCTGCATCATTCACAGGCATATGCATGTGCAGAGTGGTGAGAGAGCTGAGTGCCTGACCTACGTGTTCAGATGAGTCAACAGGGTTGAACCTCTGGGTTCAGCCCTCATTCCGTAAACAAGTGGCCTTTTCATGGTCTGTTTAGTGCCATGTTTTTCACATTTTTGAGCTTTTTCTTGGTGATTGATTTCTGTATTTAAATGGCTCCCACGCATTGTGCTGAAGTGTTATTTAGTGTTCCTGTGTGCAAGAAGGCTGTTATGTGCCTTATGGAGAAAATATGTGTGTTAGATGAATTTTGTTTAGACACGAGTTGTGGTGCTGTTGGCTGTGAGCTCAGTGGTAGGCAATCAACAATATATACTAAACAAGATGTCTTTAAATGGAAACACATATAAAACAGGGTTGTATGTTGATCAGTGATGATAATTTTGGGACCAGAGGTTCACGAAACTAACCCTGCATTTCCCATTGGAGCAGTGGTTTTTTTCCCCAATTTGCAGTGTTCGCAGTGACTTCATAGAACATAACTATCACAAATAATGAGAATTAACTGTATAAACAGTATAGTTTTGCCTGTTTTTGAGCTTTAAGATTCTAATGCCTTTTTTCCTCACCCAGTCTCATTTTAACGATTCACCTGTGTTGTTGTAGCTGTACTTTGTCATTTTAATTAATGTATAATATTCCATCATATACCTGTTTCATAATTAACTGTTCTGCTGTTGATAGACATTTGGTTTTCTTTTTTTTTTTTAATGTTTTATTTTTGGCTGCGTTGGGTCTTCGTTGCTGCCTGCGGGTTTTTCTCTATTGCGGAGAGCAGGGGCTACTCTTCCTTGCAAGTGTGCGGGCTTCTCATTGTGGTGGCTTCTCTTGTTGCAGAGCATGGGCTCTAGGCACGCAGGCTTCAGTAGTTGCAGCACATGGGCTCGTAGTTGTGGCTCACAGGCTCTAGAGTGCAGGCTCAGTAGTTGTGGCGCACGGGCTTAGTTGCTCCGTGGCACGTGGGATCTTCCTGGACCAGGGCTCGAACCCATGGCCCCTGCATTGGCAGGTGGGTTCTTAACCACTTCCCCATCAGGGAAGTCCCTAGATGTTTGGTTTGTTTCCAATTTGGGTATGTTATGAGCAAGGCTGCTGTGAGCATTCTTGTATATATCTCTTGTATATATCTCTTGCATGAGCTTCCCTATAAAATATACCCAGAAGTGGAAGGGTTGGGTCACAGTAGCAGACAGTGACCAGCTCTCTCCCAAAATGCTTGAGCAAGTTTGTACTTTAACCAACAGTAAGTAAGAGTTCCTGTTGTTCCACACGCATACTAATGCTTGATTATGTCATAAGGTGTGGTGGGAACCTCAATTTCCTTTTGCCCTTTTAAACTTAGTCAAGTTTATAGTGAACCTGCGAGTTTGTTCATTTAGGCAGTGGAAGCCTTCTAGTAGCTTGTGCCTTCTGTGAATGACCAACTACTCTCTGTTTGTTCTCTCTGTCTGTCTCTCTCTCTCTGTTATCTGTCTCTGTTTCTTTCTTTTTCTGTTATTTATCCAGCAAAGTTTTTTTCTTTTTAGCTGTGTGGTGCGGCATGCAGGATCTTAGTTCCCCAACCAGGGATTGAAACCATGCCCCCTGCAGTGGAAGCGCAAGAGTCTTAACCACTGGACTGCCAGGGAAGTCCCTCTCCAGCAAATATTTTATGACATACTCACCATGTATTGTGGCCCTATCATGGTCCCTGTAGAAGTATACAGAGATAAAGCAGAATTTTTTATTTTCCCTTAGGGAGATTAGAATCTAGTAGGAAAAACTATGAAGCACTGCCTTTGTGATGTCCTGATATGCAAGGTGTGGTCTACGTCTAGCTAAAAGAAGCTCTGAATTACTTTGAACTCTATATGTTTGGGTTTTTTTTTAACTTTCCACTGTTATAAATAAAGCTTAAGGGATGTGATGGCTGCTTTTGGCAAAGTAGGGAAATATTTTCACATTTAAAAATTTTTTCCAGGAAACGTTACCTGGAGCCAAAGTAAGTGGAGGTCTTTCCAACTTGTCCTTTTCATTCCGAGGAATGGAAGCCATTCGAGAAGCAATGCATGGGGTTTTCCTTTACCATGCAATCAAGGTATAGTGGAACACCTGTTTACCTTTTGACACCAACTTGTACTTAGGGCAGGGGTTTACAGACTTCGGCCCACAAACTAACTCTGCTCTGCTTTATTCACAGAGTTCTGTGAATACAGTTTTATTAGAACAAAATCACACACTCTCACTCGTATCCTGTCTATGGATGCTTTTTTGCTACAGCAGCAGAGCTGAGTGGTTGCGACAGAAGCTATGACCTACAGTATTTTCTATCTGGTTCTTCACAGAAAGAGTCGCTGACTCCGATTTAGAGTATCCCTAGAAATCCTCATTTTTCTTTTTATTGCCCTTAGTTTGGTATGGACATGGGGATAGTGAATGCTGGAAACCTTCCTGTGTATGATGACATCCACAAGGAACTTCTACAGCTCTGTGAGGACCTCATCTGGAACAGAGACCCTGAGGCCACCGAGAAGCTCTTACACTACGCCCAGGTAGGGAGAGGTGTTCCGATGGATGGCTTTTCCTATCTTTGAATCTTTCATTCACTTAGTGTTATTAGACCTTCATTGTAGCATAGAAGCAAGGATCCAGCCATGTCTTTGAATCATTGAAGGTTTCTACAGAGAGTTCTAGAGAAGGTGTTTTCATTAGGGCAAGGAAGGAGAAGCAGGCCTTACCTATCTGCTTCAGTATTCTTAATTTATATTTCTTTAAGTTTATTTTAAAATGTAAAATTAATTTTTCTCATACCAAAGTAATACATATTAACTCTAGAAAGTGTACAAAATACTGGTAAGCAAAAGAAGAAAATAAAAATTACTCATAATCCTACTACCCATTTTTAACCACTGTTGAGATTTTGTTACAACCTTCTAGTCATGGTTTTGGTTTTTTTCAATACGAATATGTGCTAATAGGTGTGTCCACACACACACACACACACACACACGTACACGCACACTCACACACATTTTTTATAAAAATGTTAACTATATTCTCAGTGCTTTTTTGATAACCTGTTTGTTTAGCAGTATACTGGGAACATCTTTCCATTTTATTGGGTATTTTTCTACCTCATAATGTAAATTGGCTACTTTGGACATTTCCTTGTGTGGCTGTGTGATTACCTGGTTCCCATTGTTACAGCTTTATATTTGTATTTATACCTGTTTATATTAGGATCTAGTCCAATTGTGGCACAGTTCTACAGTTCAGGGCTTGAGGTCTGTACACGTTTGATCTATAGACATGAGAATAATTTTAGTTAATCCAAAAATCAGTTCCTTGTTTCCGTTTATTATGTGTTCGGCAGTCCTAGGTGTATTAAGTATCTATTATGGGTGCTGCTTCCTAGAACTCAGTTTAAGGAAAGATGAGATCTTTACCTCAAGAAAACTTACTTTTTAATTTATTTCAGAAAGTGATAGCAAGGGAAGACATTTTTCTCACAAAGCACGTTGGGAAAGTGGTAGAATGCTTTTGTGTGTGTTGCCACCTGTGTTAATGTTTTCCATGTTAAAATCTGAATTCATCTCTGGCAGAACTGCTAACTTTTCCTCTTCCTTCGAAGAGTACTGAAATGTTCTGGAAGAAGGATAGGACAATTTAGGATTAACTGCATCCTTGATTTATCAGCCTCACGGGAGACAAGATTTAGATTTATGAAACCGCTCATGTTAGCCTTAGGTTCATTCAGGAAAGCTGAGTGAAGTTCAGACTCAGTGCCAGTGAGCACATGACCCTCTGCTCAGTTCCTTGGGACATTTCTGATTTCTCATGTGGACCCAGGACAGAATGTCTTGACGGTTGCAAATATAATCAAGTTCTGCTTCACAGCTCATTACATAAGAAACAGTGCCTAGCTTTCCTTCACTATTTCCATGATTGTTTCTACTCAGGTAGACAAAGTGCTTAGCCCAAGACGTGAGTGTGAAACACTATTCAGTTTTTGTCTTAGTCTGCCTTCAACTTAGTGGGGGATCCTTCATGAATCACTGACTAAAACAGGGTTCTGCTGAAGGCCAGAAGGGCAGCATAGCTTCTATATCAGGAAGTTATACTAGAGCGTTCTTAATTAACCCATAAAGTGATGTGCTATTTCATCTTCTCCACTGTTCAGATAAGACAGCTCTCGCTTAGGAAAGGTAGGGCTCCATAAGCCTATTCTTATATATGGTTTTGCTGGTTTTGTATTTTATATCAGTCATTCTTTTCGGTCTTTGTTCACTTTTAGTATTTGCTTACAAGTTTTTGTTTCTGTATATCTTGCTGAGCTGCCGAGGGGTTTTGCCCCGGGGGCACAGCTGAAGGTTAACGGGGAAATCTTCATCACAATTGCAAGGGTTCAGGCTTCGCTGGTGGTGGTGGTGGTGAAGAATCCACCTGCCAAGGCAGGGGACACGGGTTCGAGCCCTGGTCCGGGAAGACCCCACACGCCGCGGAGCACCTAAGCCTGTGCGCCACAACTACTGAGCCCGCGTGCCGCAACTACTGGATCCCGCATGCCACAACTACTGAAGCCCGTGCACCTAGATCCCATGCTCCGCAACAAGAGAAGCCACTGCAATGAGAAGCCCATGCACCGCAACGAAGAGAACCCCCGCTTGCCACAACTAGAGAAAGCCCACGCGCAGCAATGGAGACCCAATGCAGCCAAAAATAAATTAAGAAAAAAAAATTACAAGGGTTCAACAATCCATCTTATAAACAAGTGCCTCCCTCTTCATGTAAGCATGAGGACTTATCACAAGCCATTGACCCCTCTGTCAAGTAGGCTGTCTGCATTCAAGGTGACTTCTGTCACCAGTAAGGAATTAATAACCAAAACAGGTATGCTTTCATCACTGCCAGGAGTCGTCAGCTCTGTAGCCATTCCTCAGGATACACCGAGTGCAAAGGGAGCGTGAAAAGCAGGAATATTATGAGACAAATAAGGGTTGAGGAATTATTTTCTATATAAGAGAATGATTATTTCTTTTTGTTATGAAATGATGAACTCTGCACCCAAGTTTCATCTGATAGATTATTCAATATTATTATTAAAGAGGGTGGAAAGAGTCCTGTCTCTGATCTTCCTAAGCTCTGTAATGGACTTTATTGAAAAATAATTCCCCTGATTTGGTGCAGGCTGACCTGTGGCGAGTAAGTTCCAGGTGTCATGAGACCATGCAATTCCCGTGGCGTTTGTTTATTAGGCAGTACTCTTTGGGCATGAACGGGGAGGATCTCTGCTCTGGGTGGGATGGCTCTTGAATGGCCTCAGATTGTGAGAATACACAGGTCCCCAACTTACGATGGTGCAAAAGCAGTAAGCACTCAGTAGAAACCGTACTTTGAATTTTTGAATTTTGGTCTTTTCCCAGGCGAGCGATATTCAGTACCATCCTCTCTCCTGATGCTGGGCAGCAGCGATGCTGACGAATCACAGCTCCCCGTCAGCCCGCCATCACGAGGGGAACAACCACTACACTTACAACCACTCTGGACCCACACAGCTGTTCTGTTTTTCACTTCTAGGACAGTATTTTTTTTTTTTTTTTTTAGATTCCAAATATAAGTGAGATCATACAGTATTTGTCTTTCTCTGTCTGACTTATTTCACTTAGCATGATGCCCTCAAGGTCCATCCATGCTGTTTCAAATGGCGGGATTTCCTCTTTTTTATGTCCGAATAATATTCCATTGTATATATATATACACCACACTTTCTATAGCCATTCATTCACTGATGAACACTTAGGTTGTTTTCACATCTTGGCTATTGTAAATAATGCTGATGTGTATATATATATATATATATATATATATATTATATTATTTTTTTTTTTAATTGCCATCTTCTTTAAGGTTTTTCAGCATGCGAGAGAGACATTGGTCTCTTGACATGTGACAAAGCCCTGCGTCATTCAGTTACCCCAGACCTCAACCCTGGAGCTCCCCCCAGGCCCCTCCTTCTTTCCTACCACACTGTCCATTACTTGATGCCTTTATGTTTGTGCTTTCCTCCTCTTCCTGTTCCTACCGCTGTAGTTCAGGCCTTCAGCATGGACTGTTAAAATATTCTCCCCCTTCTAGGGTTCTCTTAAAGATACTACTTTGATGGGAATTCCCTGGCGGTCCAGTTGTTAGGACTCGGTGCTTTCACTGCCAAGGGCCTGGGTTCAATCCCTGGGTGGGGAACTAAGATTCCACAAACCATGTGGCCAAAAGAAAAAAAATTACTACTTTGAATGTTACTCTGCAGCTTCAGAACTTTGTATTGTGTCATTCCCCCACCTCCACCCCTACCTACCACCACTGCCTGGAAGGTTAAGTCCAAACTCCAGAGCATGGATTTCTGGCACTCTGTGACTTGGCCTCTACTATCCTGCCCAAACATTGCTCTGGAAAATCCGTTCTTGTTCAGGATTAAATCATTCAGCTAATATTTACTCATTTTTGTTTTGTGCTTTCTGTACTTAGAGGATCTAAGTAGTAAGAGAGACATACCTCTACAGAGCCTGCAGCTTAGTGAGACATGCAGAAGTGTGTAGAGGCAGTTGTCATTGAGTGTGGTGGGTAGGTGCTGTGACAGGGCATGTATAGGATGCTCTAGACTGCTTAGGAAGGGCACTGAACCCAAAGGTAGAGGTGGTCAGGGAAGGCCTCACAGAAATGCTGGGTCAGGTGAGACCTGAAAGCTCAACAGGAGTTAGGCAGGCTAATGTTTGGGGTTGGATTGTACTGGTATTCCCTGCCAGAGGAGGAGGATTTGCATCCAGCTGGGGCCTGGCATCTGGTAGGTGCTGAATAAATGTCAGGTGAACGGAAGTGAAGGCCCGGGGGTGAAAGAGCTGATGGAGAGTGTAAGGAATTGAAACGTTCAAGACAGCTGAGCTCCTCAGGAGTGGCAGAAGATGAAGCTGGGAGGAAGTCAGGTCAGGGCATTGTATGGCGTGGAGAGGAGTCGGTCCCGTATCTGGAGAAAATAGGGAACTTGCAGTGAATTTTTTCCCATGGGCACAGTTTGATCAGGTTTGCATTTTGGAAAGGCACCTCTGGCTACAGGGTGGAAGATGCATTGGAGACCAGGGTGATCCTGGGCTGTGGAGACCAGTTAGCTGCTTGCACTAGGAAAGTGGAAGCGGGGTAGAGAGAAAAATTGAGACGATGTAATCATTAGGACTAGGCGATTGAATGAATGTGAGGAATGGATGGAGAGTCAAGAGTGATACTGAGGTTTATGGTTTGGGCAACTAGTGCCATCAGTCGAGATGGAGGAAACAGATAATGCCATTCACCTTCCATACCATGATCATTGTGCTTTTGTCCCTTTGCTGAATCTGTCAGCTTCTTCGAAGTCTCTCTTCACCACTCCAGTTTGCGATGATATGCAAAATTCCTAGCCTCGTCTGTGTCATCTCCTCATTCAGCCCTTGGCACGTGCTTTCTCTTTAGCTTACCTTTCTTTGTGTATTTCCACCTCCCTTATGATACGGCAAAGTCTCCGAGAGCACAGTCTTGCACCTCGCAGTGTGCCCACCTCCGGGATGATTTCTGACTTAGCTTCATTACAGCCTCTCTGTACATATCTGTGGGTAGTGATGGTCCTTGTTGAGAACTTTAAAAGCTCATCAGATGAGGTTTAGCTAGCTTCTCTTACTGTCCTGGAAATCTTTGGTCCTAAGATGCTATCTTTTAGGGAAAAAGGAAAGAAAAAAAATGGAGCCTCACTCTATCTCTCTACTAAGCATTCAAATCATAGTGGTGATCATTTTGTGATTATAGAAATATTGAAGCACTATGCTGTGCACCAGGAACTAACATAGTGTTGTAGATCGATTATGCTTTAAAAACAAACAAACTCGTAGAAAAAGAGATCAGATTTGTGAATACTAGAGGCAGGGATGGTGGGAGGGAAAATAGGGTGAAAGCAGTCAAAAGGTACAGACTTCCTTGTAAGATAAGTAAGTACTAGGGGTGTAATGTACAACATGATAAATATAATTAAGCTTCTGTATATTATATATGAAAGTTGTTAAGAGAATAACTCCTGAGAGTTCTCATCACAAGAAAAAATGTCTTTTTCTTTTATTTTGTATCTATATGAAATGATGGATGTTCACTAAACTTATTGTGGTAAACATTTCATGATGTATGTAAGTCAACTCATTATGCTGTATACCTTAAACTTACACAGTGCTGTATGTCAATTCTATTTTAATAAAACTGGAAGGAAAAAATTTTTTTAAAATTAAAAGTTCAAATCCTAAAAGACTTCTCTCTTTCCGTCTCTCCTTACCTCAAACATTTACCAAGATCTTAATTCATGCTGGGTACTCTACTAGGGCCTTGAAATGTAAAAGAAGAATAAGGCATAGTTTGTTTCTGCCCATTAGTTGAGTAAGTGACCTGTTGTATTATCTCTCTGTCCAAATTTTAATCCAGACTCAGGGCAAAGGAGGGAAGAAAGTCATCCAGACTGATGAGTGGAGGAATGGCCCCATCGAAGAACGCCTTGCATATGCTCTTGTGAAGGTGAGTGTGGGCTGGAGGCTGGGGCTCGTCCTGAGGGCTGATGATGTGGCTGGAGGGGAGGTGCTGACAGCAGCTGACAAAGGAGGTTCCCTGGACCAGCCTGGGTGATTTTTTCCTCCACGACCCCCGCCTCCAGCACTTTTGGTAGTATCTAGACATACTTTTGGTTGTCCCACCTGGGGGTGGAAGCTTTTACTGGCATCCAGTGGCCAGGGGTGCTGCTGAACTGACCATCCTACATGCACAGGATAGGCCTGCACCACAGAGAATTATTCAGTCCAAACTGTCAGTTATGCTGAGGTTGAGAAATGCTGTCCGAGACCAAGTTGCTGTCGTTTGGTCAACAAGCGAATCCTGGCTCTTCTGCTGTAATTGGAATTTTAGGCCAAATAAATAATCTCTTGGCTTCAATTTCCTCATTTGTGAGTCTGGAAAATTTCAGAGTTTTTTTTTTTTTAATTAATTAATTTATTTTGGCTGTGTTGGGTCTTTTGTTGCTGCATATGGGTTTTCTCTAGTTGTGGTGAGCGGGGCCTACTCTTGGTTCGGTGCGCGGGCTTCTCATTGCAGTGGCTTCTCATTGCGGAGCACGGGCTCTAGGCACGCAGGCTTCAGTAGTTGTGGCTCACGGGCTCAGTTGCTCTGCGGCATGTGGGATCTTCCCAGACCAGGGCTCGAACCCGTGTCCCCTGCATTGGCAGGTAGATTCTTAACCACTGTGCCACCAGGGAAGCCCCAGAGTTCTTTTTTTGCCTCTAGAATTTAATTTTTAATTTCTTGGACTTTTGAGATTCACCTACTTCAGGTTGTGGAACTAGTCAGCCACCTCTAAGGATCCTTGAACTGGGGATGCTGGAGGATTAGGGCCTGACCAGTGAAGGCAGGACAGGTCAGTGGAAGCTTCATGGACTGAACTTCGTCTAAGTGTCCTGCCCATTGTTATTCCTCCCCCCACCCAGCCCTGTAACATTACAGTGAGAAAACATACTGTTTTCACAGGAGATATTTGTTAATATATAACCTGTTAAACCACTAGGAAAAAAAAGTATTTTATTATGAATTTGAACTTATTAGTACTCCTTCTGTCACTAATTTTTCACTTTTACTCAATATTTACTTTATATCGATAAAGCCAGCTAAGCACTTTACACGGGTTATCTCATTTAATCCTCAGAATAACCACATGAGGTTGGTACTGTGTGATATATTAATCAAGGAAACTGAGGTTTAATGAATTGTCTAAATTAGTGACAGGAGCCAGGGTTTGAACAGTCTGATTCCAAAACTCATAATCTTAAGTATTTCCATGATTTATTCTTTGTTGGCTATTTGAACTTAAGCCAATTTTTTCTGTGATATTTTTCCTATTTTTTTTGTGTGTGTGTAGGGCATTGAAAAATACATTATTGAGGATACTGAGGAAGCCAGATTAAACCAGGAAAAATATCCCCGACCTCTGAATATCATTGAAGGGCCACTGATGAGTGGCATGAAAATTGTTGGTGATCTTTTTGGAGCTGGAAAAATGTTTCTACCTCAGGTTGGCAAATGATGGGGGGAAATTTTCACAATTGAAAGAAAAAGCCTTTATCTTTTAAGTTTGGGTAAGTTTGGGTATATTTCTCAGGTTTTAATTTTGACAAGAGCTCAGGGGCATTGAGATGTGATTCTGGTCATTCTTTCTCTAAATTCATTTTTAGGAGTAGTCTGGAAAAGTCCATCTAGGCTGGTGTGGAGGTTAGAGGTCATCTGGATATTCCCAGCATTCTAGTCTTCATGTTCTGGGCTTCTGTATCACTTCTTACCCTAACACATGTCTCTCCTCCACCCCCAAATTGAAATAAAACCCAAGTTATACAGAGTGCATTAAGTCAGATAGAGAAAAACAAATACCGTATATTAACGCATATATGTGGAACCTAGAAAAATGCCACAGATGAACCGGTTTGCAAGGCAGAAATAGAGACACAGATGTAGAGAACAAACGTATGGACACCAAGGGGGGAAAGTGGCGGGGGGGTGGTGGTGGTGGTGGGATGAATTGGGAGATTGGGATTGACATGTATACACTAATAAAATGGATAACTAATGAGAACGTGCTGTATAAAAATAAATTAAATAAAAAAAAATAAAACCCAAGATTAATGTAAAATTATCATATTAAGATTTGATTTGACCAGCCCGTGCTCATCCTTAAGGATGAATATTTTGAAAAGGTCATTACCATTTTAAATAGTGATATACATTAAATGATATATTTCAAGTAAAACCAGTACTCTTACTCTTATTTTGACTTACAGCAGCTACTGACCACATCAGTTAATAAATCATGTTGAGCCTTCTGGTCTGTGAGGCATACAAAAAATAAGTCCCTGTTCTTTTTTTTTTTTTCTTATTTAACTTTTTTAAAAATTATAGTTGATTTTTTAAAAACTCATTCTACATTTAATTATTCATTGCCCATTTCCCCCGTTTCCTTCATAGCATTCATCTTTTCTTATAGCTTTATTGTTTTATAATTAATATACAATAAACTGCACGTATTTAAAGGATGCAGTTTGATAAGCTTTAACATGTCTGCACCTGTGAAACCATAATCACACTCAAAATAAAGGGCGTTCAGTTGTCCTGTCTTAGTCTCCCCCCGTCTGGGGCAGTTCCTCAGTCTTTATTTTTCATGATGTTGACTTATTATTTTAACTTTTTATTTTTGAGTTAACTTTAGACTTACAAGTTGCAGATGTAGTTTAAAGTGTCCATGTATCCCTCACTCAACTTCTTCCCCTAATGTTAACATTTTCACTTGATCATAGTACAGTTATCAGAACCAGGAAGTTAGCATTGGTATAATACTGTTAACGAAAGACCTTGTTCAGATTTCACCAGTGTTTTCGCTGCTGTTCTCTTTGTGTTCCACAACCCCACATTGCTTTTATCCTGCCTTTTCTAACAGTTCCTGAGTCTTTCCTTGTAACCTTGACTTTTGAAGAGTATAGTACAGTTTGATAACGGTAGCCTGTCCCTCAGTTTGAATTTGTCTGATGTTTTTTCATTTTTGGCAAGAATAACACAGTATAATGCTGTGCCCTTCTCGGTGGATCATATCAGGAGGCCCATCATGTTGCTGTGTCTCATTACTGGTGAGGTTAACTTTGATCATTTGGTTAATGGTGCCTGCTATGTTTCTCCACTGTAAATTTACTTGTGGGGAGAAACTTTGAGACTATGCAAATATCCTGTTTCTCATCCTACTTCTACTCATGAATTTTAGCATACACTGATGAATTTTATAAAAGGCCCTGTTCTTTTTTGTCTATTTAATAAATTTGACATGTTATGTTTTGTAAATTTAAAGTGCACAGTGATACATTTACATATTGTAATATGATTGCCATTGAAGCAATTTTTATCACACTGTATCATTATAGTACAATATTATTGTCTATTTCATTATACTGTGTGTTAGATCTCTATGGCTTATTTACTTGTTACAAGTTTGTACCCTTAAATACCATCAGTCTTATCTTCCCATCCCCTATCCTTTGGTAACCACCATTTTACTCTCTGTTTTATTTTGTTTTTTCTTTCCTGTTTGCCTTTTTCAGGTTCCGCATGTAAGTGATATCATACAGTACTTATCTATCTCGATCTGATTTATCTTGCTTAGTATAATGTACTCAAGGTCCATCTGTGTTTTTTGCACATGGCAGGATATCCTCTTTTATCATGGCTGAATAATATTCCATTGTATATATATGTACCACATCTTTTTTATCCATTCATCTGTTGATGGGCGTTTGGGTTGTTTCCATATCTTGGCTACTATAAATAACGCTGTGATAAACATGGATGTGCAAATATCTTATCAAAATCCTGTTTTCATATCCTTTGGGTTTATACCCAGAAGTGGAATTGCTGGATCGTGTGGTAGACCTATCTTTAATTTTTTAAAGAACCTCCATATCGTTTTCCATATAGTTGGACTAATTTACATTCCCACCAGCAGTGCATAAGAGTTCTCTCTTCACCACATCCTCACCAGCACCTGTTGTTTCTTATCTTGATGATGGCCATTCTAACAGGTGTGACGTGATAGCTCAGTGTGGTTTTGATTAGCATTTCCCTGATGATTAGTGGTGTTGAGCATCTTTTCATATGCCTACTGGCCATTTTGATATCCTCTTTGGAAAAATGTCTTTTTAGTTCTTCTGCCCACTTTTTAATCGGAATATTTGTTTTTTTGTTATGAAGTTGTGTTAGTTCTTTATATATTTTGGAAATTAATCGCTTATCCAATATATGTTTGCAAAATTCTTCTCCAATTCTGTAAGCTTTAAAAGGTCCTTTTTTGCATAAGCCTTAATTGTAAGTGAATTGTAACAGTGGGGATTGAGAAGAAAAGGCTGACAAGGGGCTCTTGGAGGAGAAGCTTGACACCTGAAGGATGTATAGAACTTGGAGATGTGATGGAGGGCCTTCTAGGCAGAGAAAAAATAACGTGTAGAAGTTCAGAGGACAGAAACTGCAACATTTGGCTTGTAGCCTTATTTTCCTTCTGCTCTACCTCATTCATTGACTTTCCTCACGGGGGTCTCCTTCCTTACCCCACCCACTGTCATAAGTGGACTCCAGGGTGGCTGAGCTGAGGACAAAACATGCATAATAATTTGTGCTAAAATTTCACAAGTGGCCAGTAGCAATCATCCAGGTGTTCTGGTAAAGATGCCTGACTCTGTGTATTTACCCCAGGTTATAAAGTCAGCTCGGGTCATGAAGAAAGCCGTGGGTCACCTTATTCCCTTCATGGAAAAAGAGAGAGAAGAAACCAAAGTGCTTCCCGGCACGATAGAAGACAAGGTGAGTCATTTTGTCCGAGCCCGTGGGCCCTGTGGGGATCGGCTCTGCACACTCTTACTGGGGTGTGGGTAGGGACCTAAGCCATCAGGCTTGGCTGTGTTTGTCATTGAAGATGAAAGGGAGGAATGATCCAGCTCTTTTACCAAATATCAGAATACCCTGGGATTTTTCCCATAAATGTGGCTTCATGAAATTTTTAATAGGAACATAATTTTTCGAACAAAGCCCATGATTTCAAGACAAAAGCAGTTTGTTCATTCATCTACTGACTATTTACAAAGCTCCTACTACGTGCCAGGTACTATGCTCGACACTGTAGCTAAAAAAGATTGGTCCCTACCCTTGAGATGCTGTTTAGTTTTGGATAACCTCTTAACCTCTTAACTGAATATTTCCTGTGTGCTGGTCATGTTCTTGTCACCACTTCTGGATTCAGATCCATTCTTGTTGGCTGTACCACCACAGTAAATCATTAAGCTTTTGACCTTGTTTAGCCCCCTGTGAAGTTCAGGCAGCTTTGGCCCCTAGGATTCTGAATTCTAAAATTGATCTGAGTTTGTGAATGGCTCTTGCATAGTGTTTATAAAAATCCCGTTTGCCTTGCGTGCCTTTTTCTTTTCTTTTTCTCTTTTCTCCCTTCCTGCCTTCCTTCCTTCCTTCCTTCCTTCCTTCCTTCCTTCCTCCCTCCCTCCCTCCCTCCCTTTTTCCGAGGGAGGGAGTGCTGACAGTCTGGAGCAACAGTGTTGAAGCCCCCCTGCACTGGTCTGTTGTGGTCCTTCCCATTCTGACAGGACACGTGCGATTCACCGGCTCCTTCCTCTCCCTTTACTGCTAATAGTGAATGCTTATCAGACAGGTTTTGGGGGTTAAGGATATGATCTTCAGTGATGGGACTGTTTTGTATTTGAACTTAAACTGTCCTTTGAGGTGATGGAATGCATGATCTTGGTTGAAGCCCCCTGAGCTAACCAGCTGGGCGGGCTTCCTTCGAGCTGCTGGGGCTTACAGCCGCCTTCTCACAGAGCATGGGACCTGGCTTCTGGGTCCATCTTCTTTTTTTTTTTGGCCATGCCACGCAGCATGTGGGATCCTAGTTCCCCAACCAGGGATCAAACCCACACCCCCTGCATTGGAAGCCTGGAGTCCTAACCACTGGACCACCAGGGAAGTACCCCGGGTCCATCTTTGAGGTTGCCTTGGTTGTATTGAATTGCTTTCTGTGCTGATACCTGTCTGGCTTTGGAGAACTGGGTGATCTGCTCTGAAGTGACCACAGTGATGCTTAGCTGCTTGGCTTCCTCTCCAGGACCCTTACCAAGGTACCATTGTGCTGGCTACCGTGAAAGGCGATGTGCACGACATTGGCAAGAACATAGTTGGAGTAGTCCTTGGCTGCAATAATTTCAGGTGAGTTAAGACCTGTTGTTTTCACCCCCTTTCTTATTTAAAGTAAAAGCATTAACAGGGTAATTCTTTACTGGGTGCGAAGGGCAGGGTAGGGCAGTAGATGTTAGAGGTTATTTTTAATTTCTTTTTCTTCACTGTGTTTTCAAATTTTCTACATTGAACATACCTTTTCAAATGAAGGAAGTTAGTAATTATTTAATGTTGTATGTTCAGTAAGGACAAAAAGAATAGAAAAAACTATTCAAGCAGTGTCAAAACAACAAGAGGCCTCTGGGGATTTGACCTCCGGCCAGAGGCGGGAACATTGGGTCCCACCCCATGGCCCATGACATTGAGCATATTTCCATTTTCCTCTCGATGAACTGCCAGATTTTTAGAGCCAAGATCTTATTAAGACCTTGGCTAAATAGAGTTTTATAAGAAGGCTTTGACTGTACAGTTCTTTTTGCTTTGCTTAGAACAGAACCAGGCATGCATCCTGGTGTTGATGAAGCTAGTTTTTGAATGTTGTATACAAGTAAAATCCCTTTCTTGTATCTTTCATTATAGTTGAATGATTATTCAGCGCAAATTTATTTCTATGTGAGAGCTCATGACCCACAGTAAGAGCATGTTTTGCTCAGATTTCAACATATTCTTTGTAATGAAAAGCCTAATATAACTAATGTCTTCTCTGGCCCATGTCCAACCAACAGTCTCTGAGTCATGGACTTCTTTCCAATGTGCGTTTTTCTCTGTAGAGAAGAGATACTTGACTGCAGCTACAGCCGGGCTCCCTTGGAGTTGTCTTTGCCCACTGTCGGATAATAATTACCCTCTAAGCCCCCCGCCTACTCTCAAAATATTTATCCATGTCTGCGTTCAAGGCTAATTAAATGCAGCTAAGAACCACTCAGAAAGGCTGGAGATGGAGGAGCAGTGTGAGGGCGGCACCTTCTTCCCTCTGACTGTCTTCACAGGCACTTCCGTTTGGCTGCCTGTTCACTGTCAAAGACTTAGCATTCTCTCCTGGTCCTGGAAATGAGGAATATTGTTCTTGGAATATATTAATTTTTTTAAGATAAAAATACTGGAGATACAGTGGAGGTTGTTATAATGAGATTTTACCTATAGGATAAGTATTTGGACGAGAAATAAGTATTTGGATGAGGTATTTGCTTCCTAAAATCTCTGACATTTCTTCTGTTGTCTCATCTTTTCAAACCCTATGTTGTTGGTTTCTATTTGCATTCATCATAATTAGTTCAAGTTCAGTTACACTGATAAATGTTTATAGATCATCTACTACATACCATGCATTGTATCAGAGACACCAAAGTGATTGAGTTGACTTTTCTCCATTCAAGAACTTTACTGTTTATCAGGCTAAAAAGCAGGAACATGTTCAGTGGTGATAGTGGGACAAGAACTATTGAAAAGGCAATTTGTAGACAAACTCTCTACAGCAATTCTTGAGATATCATTGTCATGTGTTTATCATTTTTTATTATGAAAAATGGACAAGTAGTTGAGAGAATCATACCAGGAATGTATTTTCCTCCAGTTAAAACATTTTAAGGGACTTCCCTGGTGGCACAGTGGTTAAGAATCCGCCTGCCAATGCAGGGGACATGGGTTTGATCCCTGGTCCGGGAAGATCCCACATGCCGCGGAGCAACTAAGCCCACGCGCCACAACTACTGAACCTGTGCTCTAGAGCCAGCGAGCCACAACTGCTGAAACCCACGCGCCTAGAGCCCGTGCTCTGCAACGAGAGAAGCCACCGCAATGAGAACCCTGCTCACCGCAACGAAGAGTAGCCCCTGCTCGCCGCATCTAGAGAAAGCCCACATGCAGCAACGAAGACCCAAAGCAGTCAAAAAAAAAAAAGAGGCCAGGGAAAACTGTGACCAGCATACCCAGTTCCTCTGGCTTGTGCACTGGGGGCCACTTATCTGGAGTAACTGGAGAAACATCTTCTGATGAAATTCTATTCTTTTTGCAAAAAAAAAAAAAAAAAAAAAAGTTAATGTGCAAATTTTTTCTATCAGGTCAAACACTCCTTTGGGTCTTATGTCTTATAACACATAGACTCTTGGCACTGGTGGGTTTAATGTTATGACATCAGCTAGTAGACAGGTGCCCCTGATAGCTGCTTTATATAGTTAAATGTATGCTTTTGCTGGGTATCCATGTTCCAGCTGATGCCTGGGTGAATCACCCAGCTAGTGAGTGAGTCTAGCAAACCATCCAGTACCAGATATTAATGCAACTTTCTCATTCCTGGTTCTTTGTCGTTGATGCAGTAAATCTCATGAAGAGACATGTTCTTTGTGGGGGAAAAAAGAAGTAAAGAGGACTGAAAGTGGTAGTTCTGTCTAGACAGAAAACACATTTTGTATGGGGATGATGCAATAGAATTTGCAGATTTGAGAATTTAAATGGTTCTAGGGATGTGTCCACCAAGAGTTTATTAATACCTAACATTTGTTTTCTGCTTCACAATTTATATAGTGCTTTTATATAACTGATTTTTCTTTTTCTTTGTTTTTTGGTATTCTTTTCCTGATTCCTTCCTTCCTTCCTCCCTCCCTCCCTCCCTCTTTCTTTCTTTCTTTTTGTTCATTCTTTTTATGGTTTTGATCCTGCTTTGCCTGCCTCAATTATTGTATTTCTCATTTTACACAGCTAGCAAGTGGCAGGCTGTACTCAGGGCTTCTGAATCCAAAAGTCAGGATTCTATGTTATGTCAGTTTAGCTTCCAGTATTTATTCCAGTTATAAACAACTTTAACTGTAATGTATAATATTAATATGCTAGTTAAATTCCTCTGAAGAAATAATTTAGAATACTTAAAAACATTTTTGATCAGATATTTGATTACATGAAAGTTGATTTTAGATATACTCTTTAATAATAATTATATAAAGAGACAAATGTGGACTTTCCCCAGGTAACAGATAATGCACACTGTTTAACTGGGTAAGAAAAAGTAGGATATATTAACAGAAATGTTAGAATTAGATATACATCTAGTACTTTAAAAAATATGGATCTGATGAAACAGATAATGAGGCATATTTTCATTTTAACCAGTGGTTCTTAGTATAATTGTCTAGTATGGGTAAATAATACGCAATATATGGCTAAGAAGGGGACACTTTGAAACTGTATAATGTTAGAGCTTTCAGCTGAGTGAGGAAAACAACTGTATGTAAGTCAAGGGCGCACTAGAGACTTCTCCTAGCACCTCAACATGCTCTCTTTATAATTATTCGGAGGCTTTCAACTGTGTGTGTGTGTGTCTGTCTGTGTCTGTCTGTCGTTTTCTAGCTTAATTGAGATATGATTGACATATAACATTGTTTAAGGTGTAAAACGTTGATTTGATACACATATATTGCAGTATGATCACCACCATAGTGTTAGCTAACACCTCCATCACATCACATAATTACCATTTCTTGTTTGTGGTGAGCACATTAAGATCTACTTTCTTAACACTCTCAAGTATATCATACAGTATTGTTAACTCCATTCACAGTGCTGTGTATTATATCCCTAGAACTTATTCATCTTCCAACTGGAAGTTTGTACCCTTGACCAGCATCTCCCCATTTCCCCACCCTTCAGCCCCTGGTAACAGCTGTCCTACTCTCTGTTTCTATGAGTTCAGCTGTTTTAGATTCCCTGTGTAAGCATATCCTACAGTATTTGTCTCTCTCTGTCTGACTTATTTCACTTAGCATAATGCCCTCATAGTCCATCCATGTCATAATGGCAGGATTTCCTTCTTTCTTATGGCTTCTTATGGTTCCATCGTATGCATGTATCACTCCTGCTTTATCCATTTATCTGTTCTTAATCACAGCTTGGAAACCTTATAGGGGCTGCAGACTGGTACGGTACTCCCATCTAGTGGTGGTACCTGTGAATTGCAGGATCAGAAGAAGCTGCCACCTTTAACTTCATTTCACATGACAGTAAATATGAGGCACCCTAAGTGGATGCAGATGCAAAGCTAGCTTTATATTCCATTTTAATTCCTTCTGGAGAGTAAAAGGGGCTTTATATATTACAATATTTATTTTCTAAATTGTATGAATTCTTAAATAGTATTGGATGCCTTTGCTAAGGCATTTAGTGAAGCTTACATTTTTTTCTGTATTAGAAACTCAAATTAAATGCTTGCATTTACAGCTCTGTTATAAGCACTTTAGAAAGATGATTATAAAATACAAAATTTTCCATAACATCATTTTTATTTTCTTTAATCTCTCATGTGGCAAAATATAAGAATGTGTATAAGAGGCCTACAGACACTGGGTATAGCTCAGAGTGCAGAAGGGAAACCAAGGGAAAGCCAAGGGAGGTGGAGAGCTATATGAGGGACGCAGGGAGTTGTAGTAAAGGGGAGAGAAAATGGGAAGAGATGGTGGGAAGAATGGCAGCCGCCATGGAAGGCAGGGATGGGATTGACCCAGGCTTCAGATCCTTTCCTTCAGCCAGGGTTCCCCAGGGCCAGTTGTTTGTGATTCTGGACCTTCATAGTACTAGTTTCTGCCTGGGTGGCCCTCTTTTTTCCTTCATCCAGCTAATACCTACGTAATTTTTCAAAATGCAGCTGGAATCACCCTCCTGGGGTGCTTCTAGTTGTTACCGAGATTAGATGGTCTCCCACAGCACACTGTAAATGCCTCCTCTGTGGCACTTGTCACACCATATGCTAATTCAGAATATGAATTAGAATTCATATTCTAATGAACTCACATGTGCTCAGAAACTGATTTCTCAACTCACACATGCTCAGAAACTGATCCCCTTCTTCTGGGGTGGGGCTGGGGACAACCGAGGCCTAGATTGGTTGTCCCTGGTGGTGAGCAGCCTCCTTCCTGTATCCCAGTGCCATAAATACTACTTTCTATGCATGGAAAATGTTGGGAAGTGCTCCTCTAAACAGTGATATATTTGACTGTCTCCCAGCAAGACCTCTTAAGGCAGCCTAATATGTTGGAAGTTGAACTTGTACCCCAGACCCCTGGCTCACTGTTTCCAGACCTCTTCTTACCTGCCTGACTGCCGGTTGTCACTCTCTTGCTGATTTCTCCTTCTCTGTGTGACCCCTGAACGGGGGAGTGCTCCGAGGCTCAGCCCTGGGACCTCTTCTCTGTCTGTCCTCACTACCTAGGTTAGTGCTTCTCGGACTGTAATGTGCCTTCTGACCACCTGGGATCTTGATAAAGGTCAGGTCAGGTTAAAGTAGGTCTGGTCAGATAGTCTTAGATCATCTCATTCAGTCTCATGACTTTTTTTCTTGCTCCTCTCCCCTTTCATCTCCCCTCCCCTTCCCCTCCTCTCTCCCCACCTTCCCTCCCCCCTTTCTCCCCACCCTCCACCCGCTTTTGGCAATTTATTTTTCTACATCTTTTACACACGGTCTAAGGACTTTTTAACACCATCTAATATGCTGTCAAGTCCCAGGTTTTATCCCCAGCATGGATCTGTCACCTGGACTCTAGGCTTACCTATCCAGACAACTACCTAAGGGCTCCATTTGGATAGCTAAAGAAACAATATTTTGAAAATCGAACTAATCGCTGCCATTAAGATGCCCTCTACGGGGCTTCCCTGGTGGTGCAGTGGTTAAGAATCCGTCTGCCTGTGCAGGGGACACAGGTTTGAGCCCTGGTCCAGGAAGGTCCCATTTGCTGCGGAGCAACTAAGCCTGTGGGCCACAACTACTGAGCCTGCGCTCTAGAGCCCGCGAACGACAACTACTGAGCCCACTTGCCACAACTACTGAAGCCCGTGCACCTAGAGCCCGTGCTCCGCAACAAGAGAAGCCACTGCAGTGTGAAGCCCACACGCTGCAACGAAGAGTAGCCCCTGCTCGCCGCACCTAGAGAAAGCCCACACGCAGCAACGAAGACCCAACGTGGCCAAAAATAAATAAATAATAAAAATTAAAAAAAGAAAAAATGATGCCCTCTTCTCCCCCTCTGACCTTACTCCCTACAGCTTTCTCCTTCCTCCATTTCTGTCTGGCCACGAGGTCTCCTTAGTTTTCCTCAAACAAAAGCAAGCATCACACGATGTTCCTGAACGATACAGTGCCTAAAACAAGAAAAAGAATTGAGAGCAAGATGATTCTTGCCATCATACTGATGATTTTTAATTGAATTTTTAAAATATATGCAATGCTGAAAGCAGTCAGCTTTGAAATACATGCCTCTTTATCTTGATATAAAAGCAATATGCTATTTTGCTTAGTTTTATAGGCTGTATTTAGTCACAGTTTAACAAATCTAGTTGCCAGACTGAGTGCAATGTGCTTAAAAAAAAAAAAAAAAAAAACGTTCCACCTCGCCCCTGTTATAACCTGCAGGCCCCATCATCAACACTTACAGCACTTGTTCTCTACTGGCTTAGTGCTAACAGACCTGAATAGAGTTAGCATTGATTTGAAATTGTGTACTTACTGAGGATTCCATATATGCTAGTTTATTTTTTTTTAAATTTAAGTAATATGGCAACAAGCTAAAAAATCTAACAGTATGAGAAGGTATATAGTGAGAAGCAAGGCCCCTTCCTGCCCCTGGTGTCCAACTACACCCACCTGTTAGCAGCTGACATGATGTCAGGTAGTAGTTCTTAAGCATTGATTTTTTTTTTATTTAAAATTATTTTGCCTATTTAGTTTTAAGAATTGTTGACATTAGGAAGCAAGTGAAAACGCGTACTGTAATTTTTTAAACATCTTTATAACAAATACTTATGATCAAATTAAATTGTCAAAATGACTGACATTCTGTGTACTCTCTAAATCTAGAAGAGTAGTTTATAGAACATTTTCAAGGGCAGAAGTCCCATTTTCTCCAAGTTCCAGAAAGCTGTCTCCTCCCTGAGTTACAGTTCCTTGGTGTTACTCTGTCCTCTGAGCGTAACAGGCTCCAGGCTTCCTCTGCCCAGTTGTGTCCCCCTTCTCATGTGCCCACCCAGGGTCAGCTCTTCCTTTGAGTCTCACTCCATCTCTCGTGGTTACCTGCTCTCTGATTCAGTCTCCCTCTCCCTCAACTTAAGTCACCAGATTCCTTCTCGTCAGCTTTTCATGTGCAGGAACTGACCTCTTCTTGCTTATCCTCCTAGTTGGCTTCCATGTAGGATATACTGTTCAGTTGATATTTATTGAGTCAACTTACCCAGCATCTTTATTGGCCTACATGGCTAAGAAGATGGATTTTGGTGTCAGATCCTGGTTCAAACCTCAGCTCTGCTACTGATTAGTTGTTTGACTGGACAAGATGCTTAACTTCTGGGCCCACACTTCTCTGGGCCCTTCCTCATTAAAATGTAAAAATCATGTTTTCAAGAATTTTAAAAATAGAGAGTATTAATTGGTAAAACCTGCCTCAAAATCGAGTTTAAAATATGAATCAAGCATCGTAAAAATATTTATATTCTTTAATGCAAAAATGCCATTTGTATTAATCCATCCAGTGTATATATTTGGATAAATGCATGAAGTAAAATATGAAAACAAACCACAGAAAATGGGCCCCATGGTAGTGCTTCCATGTAGAGTTCCTGTGAGGGTTAAACAAGATTGTTTATGCAGAAGGCTTAGCATAGTGGAAACAACCCAGGTGTCCATTGACAGATGGATGAATAAACACCATGTGGCACATTCATACAATGGAATATTATTCAGCCTTAAAAAGGAATGAAGTTCTGACACAGGCTACAACGTGGAGCATCCCTGAAGTCATTATGCTAAGTGATATAAGCCAGACACAAAAGGACAAATAATGTATGATTCCACTTGTATAAATACCCAGACTAGGCAAATCCATAGAGACAGAAAGTAGAGTAGAGGTTACCAGGGGCTGGGACGGGCCGATCAGGGATTGTTGCTGAGGGATTACAGAGTTTCTTTTGGGGCGATGAAAGAGTTTTGAAAATAAATGCTGGTGATGGTTGCACACCATTGCGACTGACTGATTAGTGATGCTGAATTGTACTTAGGTTAAAATGGCAAATTATGTGTTATATATATTTTACCAGAGCTTAGGAAATAATAGTGTCCTCTATCAAAAATTATTGAATTGTCTACTTTAAATAGGTGGATTAGATGCTCTGTGGATTAAGTCGGCAAAGGTGTTTAAAAAAGCTCAGCATAGTCCCTGACGCATGGTCAGTTCCTAATAAATGGCAGTCGTCGATGAGTTGGTGGTTGATATTTAGTGAGCTTTTCAGTGTGATTCCAGTTTACGTTAGAGCAGTATTTAATGGCTAAATAAAAATGTTCGTCTAGCTTTTTCCTAATGGGTTCTCATTAATTTTCTCACGTCTCATTTCTGTGCCCCAGAGTTATTGACTTAGGAGTCATGACTCCATGTGACAAGATACTGAAAGCTGCTCTCGACCACAAAGCAGGTACTGTGCAGCCGTGCTCCTGGGCATTTCAGTAAATACCATTTCCTCCCATTGTCTGTCTATCGGTGAATAGCCACGCCCCAGCCCATGTGGGATGGTGGGACATTCAGACATTCAAGTGCTAGCTCTGCCTGGGGGTGCTGTCATTGCCGTTTATAATGGAGGTAGAAGGGGTGAGCAGGTAACCGTGAAACTCCTCTCTAGCTATGAGGAAGGGGAATGGGGACAGGCTTCTTAAAAGAGAACAGTTTTATTAGACTTTTTTCCTCTGTGTGTAGTTGCTTTTATGTTTCTTCTGACACTGTGACACATTGAGTCTGGGAAATCATGAACTAACAATTGTGTGGCTTCCCGAAACTGTGGCAAGCATATTATTGCAACTTGAAGTTGCAAATCATATTTACTCCTGAAAGCAAAAAATAAATTGAAAACCCCAGTCAGAAGAGAAGCCTCAGAATTAGAAATTGGGAATTTATCTTCTGTCTTGTGGTCTTTATTACAAAGTTTTGAAAATGAGTCTTCATACTTTTCCTCTCATCCTCCTTCTCACTGTCCTTTTTTCTCTTTTTTAAATAATAGATATAATTGGCCTGTCAGGACTAATCACTCCTTCCCTGGATGAAATGATTTTCGTTGCTAAGGAAATGGAGAGATTAGCTATAAAGATTCCGTTGTTGATTGGAGGAGCTACCACTTCGAGGTAAGTCATGCTACTGAGCTTTGTGCTTCCCTTAAATTCTCTTAAATGCCAGCATTTAAAAACAGTGATAAAACCTGACTTTTTTTCTTATGCATAGTGCATTGGCTTCTTATTATATAAATACATGAACTTTCCAGCCTTCACACCACGAGAGCCAGAATCATTTGGGGGCCTGCTGCAGGAAACTCCTCTGTCATCTACCCCCTCTCCCTGTTTTTGGATTCCTTTGGCCTGCAGTCCTCTTTTCCTTCATCTTCTCACCTCCCATTCAGTTCCTGAGACTTCTAACGAACACTTATCCTCTTGAAATCAAACTGAGTGGAGAAGCTGTGTTTTTTGGTACAAAAACACTGCTTGAACTTTAGCCCACTCTCTGTCTTGAAGCAGGTATCTGACTGAATAATTACAGGTTCTCTTGAAGAAACTCCGACCTTGCAATAGTTGAGATAGAAAGCTGAGAGAATGAATAGAGAGAATGAATCAGAGGATCACTTTGGGAAGTTGTTTCTGAAAGAGAGACCTTTGGGGAACCTTTGGGTCAAATAATTTAAAGAGAAAGTTCAAATTCGGTCACATGATTATTATTCAGTTTGTCGGATTTCTCCTGGGGTCACGATCATAATGATATTTGGTGAGAGGTATGTTAATTATGGGTATTAGACTTTAAAAAAATTTTTATTTTATATTGGAGTGTAGTTGATTAACAATGTTGTGTTAGTTTCAGGTGTACAGCAGAGTGATTTAGTTGTACATACACGTAGATCCATTCTTTTTCAAATTCTTTTCCCATTTAGGTTGTTAGGTAATGTTGAGCAGAGTTCCATGGATATTAGATTTCTCATGACACATTCCTTATGCCCCATGTAGTTCACTTTGGCAGGGAGCAGTGCCCAGGAGGAGCATTGACCTTGATGGTCACACAAGCATGCAGTTTACTTTTCTGATACAATATACAGTAGATGTGGGACAAAGCTATTCCAGAGTTCCTTTCACTCTGGAAACAACTGTATGTTAAGCCATTTATATTAGGGATCTCCACAGAAACAGGATCAGTAAGGGGTGTGTGTGTGCGTGTGCGTGTGCATGTGTGTGTGTGTGTGTGTATGTGTGTGTATCTATACAGGGGGTGTGGGGGAAGGGAGGGAGAGTGATTGATTTTAAGGAACTGGCTTATGCGATATGGGGGCAGGTATGTCTGAAATCTACAGGGAACGTGGGCAGACTGGAGGCCAGGCAAGAGTTGCTGTTGTATCTTGAGTCCACAGGCAATCTGGAGGCAGAAGGCCTTCTTCCTCTGGCGACTGCAGCCTTTTCTCTGAAGGTCTTTAATTGATTGGATGAGGCCCACCCACACGGAGGACAATGTGCTTTACTCAGAGCCTACTGATTTAAATGTTAATCATATCTAAAAAATACCTTCACAGAAACATCTAGATTGTTGTTTGACCAAAAACTGGGTACCATGGCCTACCCAAATTGGCACATAAAATTGACCATCCTTCCATTTATAACCTGAATGGACCATGTTCATGAATAGTCAGGGTTCTATGTCATGTATCCACTAATTAGTTTTCATACTTGAAGGACTCAGTAGTGTGGCTATTGTTGCTCACATTAGAAAACTAGGTTTGTTTTTCCACGAAGGACTTACCCACTAGGATACTGGCAGATCGTTCTCTAGGGATATGACCAACCATCGATAACTGAGGTTTCAGTGAGCATGGTTGTGGGCAATTGATGATTATAGTGTGAATATTCATTAGCTTAGCAAAGAGAATGGTAAGGGAATCTACAGATTATTGTCAAAATGAAAGACCTTTTAAAATCATGGTTGTAAAAGAGGATAAATAAATACTTAAATGAGCAGATGTAATGAAATGCATTATGAGTTATGTAAATGTGATGCTGGTTTCCAAATGAGAACCACTTTATGTGGACACTGCACTCGGGAATTCAATACCAGGAAACCACATATTGCTACTTGTGCAAGTTGGAATGTTACCAATAGTTAATTCTACTGTATCTCTTACCAAGTAAGAGCCACCAGATGAAAGAGGTTTCTTAAAAAATAACCGGAAGTAACATGACTAACCTCTCAGGATACATCATTGGCAAACTTAGCCATAAAGGACTCTTATGGCTATGACTCTATACCAGTTATAACCTGGTATATCAAGTTAAAATTAATCAGATCAGAAATCACCCACAGTCTTAGTGCTATTGTAGAATATCTATTCTCATCATCTGGGAAACTAAATGTGTTCCTCCAAGGAGAGAGAAATCTGGATCCCATGACCTCCCAAGGTCTCTTTAACTCTCTGATGTTTTGTTTCTCAATGAGCTTTTCTGGTTCTATTCTCTTCCATGCCTGTTGCAGTTTCGGAAAAATTATTTAGAAAATAAAAGCCAGTAGTGGTGCTTCCAGGTAACCATCCCCTTCTCCATTGTGGTGCAAGGGCAGCCTTTGAAAAACAGATTCTCGTGCAGCCTCCAGGAATGTCAGTGTAAAATTCCCCCTTCTGCCTTCATTTTAAAGTGGTGACAGTGGGTGAGGTCTCAGACCTGGAGGCTTGCTTCGTCAAGCCCTCTTATTTAAGTAAGCACTTTTGCTAAGTATAGCACTCATGTAGAAAAGTACACAAGTCACAGGTAAACAACTTGATGAATTTTTTTAAAAATGAAACCACCCATGTAATAACCCCCAGATCAAGAAATAGAACATTAATGACACTCTGGGAACTTCACTGGATCCCCCGACCTAGTCATTCTATCTTCTATCACCACAGTTTGGTTTTGTCTGTATTTCAACTTTGTGTAAGTGGAATCCTACTGTACGTATTCATTCTTCTGTGTCTCGCTCAACATTATGTCTTTGAGGCCTAAACTCATTATTACAGTAGTGTTTTTGTTTTTTTTCCCATTGTGGTATAATATTGCATTGTATTATGCCCTCTGGCTTATTTATCCATGCTAGTGTTGGTGGACATTTGGGTTTTTCCAGTTTGGGGCTATTACACAGAATGCTGCTATGTATGTGTTTCTGCCCTGAAGCAGACTTGCTGGGTCACAGAATATGCATATGGTCATCGGCATT